TTAAAAGACTATTTCAGCACAGACTTGTTCAGTTTGAACTCGATACAATTAAAGAAAAAGATGATAAATGTAAAATGTCACCCGTGTACCACATGCTTTCACTTGTAAACAAGTATGAACTCAATAATGACATAAACACATATACCATTTATTCTCATTTCCCCTCAATACATGCATGGGCGAGTCGAGTTAAAGAACAAATAAGCGTATGTGACCATAACATAATTCATGCAGAGATTCATTCAAGAGAAAACCTAAAACGATACTCTCTTATACGATCACCTAAGGTACACAGACTTTGGTTACTAACAATTGAAAGGCCGGAACACTTCTATGATTTAGCATATTTATTATGCCTTAGCACCTACAGTATACAATCTGATGAATGTCTATGCGGCACATTTGCTTTTGATATTATCAAACATGTGTTTATGTATTGTAAAAAGACTCAACAACAAAGAAATATTCTTGTTGAGTCTATTATTGATTTACTAGATGTGACAACTTTTTCTAGTATCTGGAACGATGATGACGATACCTTTCTGTCCTTTTTACTTGGCGGTTTGCCAACAGAAAGTACTATGGCAATTGAATACAATCTATGGGCAAATATCATGCTTCGTGTATGTAAAACTGTTAAAATGTGGAAAAACCTACTAAGAAACATTATTTGATAACGATGTGAAACTGCCTGTACATACAATATATCAGCTGTTATATAAATACATTTATATCTCATATCAATGTATATTCATCAACTGGAGGAAATAAAGATGATCTATCTATCTATCTATCATAACTCCGTCTTCAGTGATATGGCACTGTTTGCATACACAAAGCTCTGTATTCGGTCATATGGCACTGTTTACAGACACATAGCTGTATTCAGTCATATGGCACTGTTTACATACACATAGCTCTGTCTTCAGAGATATGACACTGTTTACATACACATAGATCCGTCTACAGTAATATGACACTGTTTACATACACATAGCTCTGTCTGCAGTAATATGACACTGTTTACATACACATAGCTCTGTCTACAGAGATATGACACTGTTTACATACACATAGCTCTCTGTCTACAGTAATATAACACTGTAAAGGTACACATAGACCCATCTACAGTAATATGACATTGTTTACATACACATAGCTCTGTCTGCAGTAATATGACACTGTTTACATACACATAGCTCTGTCTACAGATATATGACACTGTTTACATACACACAGCTCCGTCTTCAGTGATATGACACTGTTTGCATACACATAGCTCTGTATTCAGTCATATGGCACTGTTTACAGACACATAGCTGTCTACAGAGATGTGACACTGTTTACATACACATAGCTCTGTCTGCAGTAACATGACGCTGTTTACATACACATAGCTCTGTCTACATTAATATGACACTGTTAACATACACATAGCTCTGTCTACAGAGATATGACACTGTTTACATACACATAGATCCGTCTACAGTAATATGACACTGTTTTCATACACATAGCTCTGTCTGCAGTAATATGACACTGTTTACATACACATAGCTCTGTCTACAGATTTGACACTGTTTACATACACATAGCTCTCTGTCTACAGTAATATAACACTGTTAAGATACACATAGACCCATCTACAGTAATATGACATTGTTTACATACACATAGCTCTGTCTGCAGTAATATGACACTGTTTACATACACATAGCTCTGTCTACAGATATATGACACTGTTTACATACACATAGATCCGTCTACAGTAATATGACACTGTTTACATACACATAGCTCTGTCTGCAGTAACATGACGCTGTTTACATACACATAGCTCTGTCTACAGTAATATGACACTGTTAACATACACATAGCTCTGTCTACAGAGATATGACACTGTTTACATACACATAGATCCGTCTACAGTAATATGACACTGTTTTCATACACATAGCTCTGTCTGCAGTAATATGACACTGTTTACATACACATAGCTCTGTCTACAGAGATTTGACACTGTTTACATACACATAGCTCTCTGTCTACAGTAATATAACACTGTTAAGATACACATAGACCCATCTACAGTAATATGACATTGTTTACATACACATAGCTCTGTCTGCAGTAATATGACACTGTTTACATACACATAGCTCTGTCTACAGATATATGACACTGTTTACATACACATAGATCCGTCTACAGTAATATGACACTGTTTACATACACATAGCTCTGTCTGCAGTAATATGACACTGTTTACATACACATAGCTCTCTGTCTACAGATATATGACACTGTTTACATACAAATAGCTCTCTGTCTACAGTAATTTGACACTGTTGACATACCCATAGCTCTCTGTCTACAGATATATGACACTGTTTACATACACACACCTCTGTCTACAGTAATATGACACTGTTTACATTCGTTATATAATAGTAATGAAACAATGTCTAAACAGATGTAGCACTGTCTGTAGATATATAACACTGTCTACAGAGATATAGGACGGTCTAAAGATATGTAGCGCTGTCTACAGAGACAAAGCATCGCAGGTCTTTTAGAGATCTAGCAGTATCAATATAGATATGTAAATAAAATGTGAAATAAAAATAGCCAGATAGATAGAATACTGCGTACAGAAATGTTACTGTCTGTCCTGAACAGTATCATATTGCTGCTTCTTTCTCTGAAACACCCATCTGCATGGCCATGTACATGACAACGATATACCAGGGCTGTGGATCTCTTTACATCCACTAAAACCACCTGACCAGGAATGGTCTCCTGAATTTAGCAAAATCACTTACAGGATAACATAAAATAGGACATAAAACACACAAGACATAACGTTGTGGACATAAATACCCAGGAATGTTGCCCTTCTCCAGACACAGATACGTAGCATCGTTAGGAAATGAAGGTTTACCTTTTTGATAGCCTTTGCAATACATTCAGGCTCCAGCTAGCAATCTCATCTGTTAGAAACGTAATTCGTAGGGAAACTGGTAGTCTGTCTTACAGACCCTGATACAAATATATCAAATACAGCCCATGATGTTTGGCAAGTCTAGATTTCTGCAGTATCTGAAAATGAAGAGAGTCCTCCTTTTTATTAAATTTTTATAAAGATAATTTAACAACTAGTTTTTTCTGTACGATATGTTCATTTCAGAGACTAGATGTTAGTTTGGGAAACTGGCGATTATAGGAATAGTCATTTAAGTGAGGCAGCAGCTCCTGTATGGGGTCTGTTTTGGTCGAGATCAGGAGCTATGTCTTGTGTACTATAGCTGCCTGCTTACTATTTTTCTGGTTGTTCAGTTAATACAGTTGTAAATGGGTAGTGGTACACAAAGTGAGCCAACTGGAAATTTCTTTGAGATTGCAAAGAAACACGTATATAACATGTTGATATTAGGATATTTCATTAAATTGAAATCATGTATAAATTCAGTCATCTGAAATATATGCGAAATTGTGAAAGCCTCCAAATCTTCGCAGACTTAGATCTCATAATTCCATTTAGCTTGTCTGTGTTTCACGGCTTTCTTGCATTGCGGGTTTAAGTGTGTACAACCTTACATTCAAATTGCAATCACCTCATTACCCCAAATATGATACGGATGAATGAAAATGATAAAAAATATATTTCTCTTGAGATACTGGAACATTAAAATTGATCTTAAGCTGTAAAAGGTAAACGATGTGGTTATTACAAGGCGGTCTTCCGCGGGACGATTTAAAGTAAACACATTAAGAACATCCCCAGGCTTATTTCAAAGGACTATTTAATAGAGTGTCGATCTCTCCAAGGGAAACGTTTCTGTTAGCTACTTAGACTTCGCTTTCATTTCCCCAGCGTATCAATACAGAACCAGACAATCCAGGTGCAATCCATTTAGTCACCTCTCACAAGAAGCAAGAGCTACCCAGAACTACTGAAACTACTACTACTACTACTACTTCTTCTTTTACTACTACTACTACTACTACTACTACTACTACTACTACTATTACTACTACTGGGGCGGTCGGGTAGCCTAGTGGTTAAAGCGTTCGCCCGTCACGCCGAAGACCAGGGTTCGAATCCCGACATGGGTACAATGTGTGAAGCCCATTTGTGGTGTCCCCCGCCGTGATATTGCTGGAATATTGCTAAAAGCGGCGTAAAACCAAACTCACTCACTCACTCACTACTACTACTACTACAACTAGTACTACTACTACTACTACTACTACTACTACTACTACTATTCGCCAGACAGAGTCGTTTGTACATTTATACTCAAAGCGAATTACATTATTACCCTGGTCAACGGATCGGTGTGAGTACAATGTACATTCTCAGCTCCTTGGGGAGAATGTAATACAAGCTGCCGGTTTGACGGGTCACGATTACGATTGTCATCTCATCCCACTGGCAAGGTGGATAGATGCACATTTTGTATTTCAGATGAGAGACAAGAAAGTGTGTTCATGTATGCGTACATGCATATTGCTGTATGGCCTGAGGATGAAGTATAATGATGTCATGTTGTACTGGTACACATACCAGGAAACCGATAGCAGAATATGGCCCAAGAGAAAATTCCCTCTTCATGGTTGCCAATTGCAATGAAACCCATCTGTATTACCATTTCAATATAAGCTGATAATACATGTATAACACAGTGTGTATTTTCAAACTGTCTTTGATACTACCGTTGTTAGTAACAATAACAATGACAATACCAATGACAATAACAAAAACAATAATAACAACATAAATAATAATAATAATAATAATAATAATAATAATAATAATAAATAAACTTACAATAAGCACCTTTGGTGTAAATATATGTGGTAAGATACATGCATATGTTTAACCTCTTGGATGGTATGTGTACTAAAATAGATAATTTTATATTAACATCAAACAAAATATGTATTAGTTGTCAAATTATAACAATAAAGAAAATAAACAGTTTTGGATTGTATCTTACCTGAACCCGAAGATGCGATGAGAATAAGGCCAATGTAAAAGGCATCAACAAATGTCTTTGAGCCGACCCAGTGATACATTTTGATCGCTACACTCTAAATCACTGCCACTGTGTTTACATCGGCGCAGTCGTTGCCTTGGACGTCGGAGCCCTCATGCCATCATTCGGTCAACGTTCACACTACACGTGATTGTGAGAAGAGAATGAGCTAGTCGTGAAAATCGACTTGACAAGAGAGTGGCCAATCAGAGCGACCTGATTAGAACCGCGGGGATGGAAATATCACGACAATATCCCATGAAGGCTTCACTGGGCCTAGAAACACACATTCTAGTGTTATCGCCCGGCTTTCCCGTCCGCTCCAACTGAGTTTAGAGTGAGATTCTAATGCCGTATATAATAAGGTACATCAATTGTGCAATGTCCGCCCGTGTTCTCTTCTAGTCAGCATCTCATCTGTATGATAAGAACCTCCGTAAATATTACAAGAAGTAATTCCTATGTATTGGGAATCGCCTTGTCCGATATTACCTTAATCCCGACATTGGGAGAGCAGTAGCGACATAATCGATCGGGTTTATTTGTTGAAAGTTATTGGAACAGGCGTTTTCAGGAGAAATAATTTGTCAGTGAAGGTTGTGAAAGCCAGACATTTGGTGGCATAAATATACTGGCTACTTCACGCATGGGGATAGTTTTAAATCATATCCTTGAACATCGGAAATTTCTTTCTCAACACGATACCGTCGACTGTTACCTGAGGCTGAAACAGTTTCGTTACCGGAATGAACGAAGCCATTGATTCATATTCGTGCTAATAGCAAGGACAATGTGATGCTGCTCCTTCTTTGAAGACTACTCGAAGAAAGATTAGACAATACTGCGTTTTCTATATTGAGACGTTAACGTGGTTGTGTGATATAGACGAGCCCAGAGACAGTGAAGGTTTTCATCGAGTAGTACAACAATCACGCTAAAGAAGACCAGTTATTGCTTGCAAGATATGGAGTGACAGCTTTCATTGAAATTATCATTGCGCTATATTGACTATTCGTACACTATTCTATATGTGCAATGTGAGGTTGGACCAATCATGAAGAGCTGAGTGGTATTTGTATTAATACATTGTGTTTGATAACTTCGATTGGCAATTAATGAATTTCAAGTAATCAACACTAGTGTCATGGATAATGTCTGGTTTGTCATGATTTAATGGCTTTGTGTAACATGCATATAGTAAGCGAATGCTGTTAGGCTGTAATGGTTTTATAGCTGTAGACAAGTCCTTTAAATAATTGAATCTCCAGAAGCCCGATTTGCAGCATGAGCAACGATCCACACCAGGGCTCCAATACAGATCTATACAAATGAATGGCCCTTTTCTGTTCATTGATGGGGCCCAGTGGGCAATTCATAGACGCACCAGTACCCAGTATATCATACTTATGGTGAGCGCCGACTAACGATAATCGAGTTGTCAGACTCCGTGATCTGGCTGATTCCCTATCATTGTGTCCAGGAGGTATGGGTCGTTGTTCATGCTTTCAGTCATTTGTGTGCCTGGTCAATACCCAATTATAGGTATTCAGCAACACTAAGAGGCGACTAACGGGATCGGATGGTCATGCTCTCTGACTTGGTTGATACATGTCATCGTATCCCAATTGTGTAGATCGATGCCAATGATGTGAATCACTGGATTGTCTGGTCCAGACTCGATTATTTGCAGATCGCCGTCATATAGCTGGAATATTGCTGAGTACTGGATAAAAAAAACAACCAACCAACATAATTATTTATTGGCAGCCGTCATATTACTGGCACATTGCTGACTGCGGCGTTTATCAACATGCCATACTACCTGATGGGCCAACAAACACCTCAGAATTCGCTTTCATGATTCTTCAAAAGGTACCCCCTGGCATTTTCTGAAATTTCAACAGCCATGAAAAGTTATCCATCGTCCACGAGTGCTGTCGGAGTTACTGGCATGCTTCTTATTCTCTGAAGGACACAAAAAGGAAAACACACTCTGAAGCTTGTCATAAGCTCAACTACTTTAGCTTTATAATACTCACAAATACATTTGCTCATTACAATAAAGCACTTGCTTTTTTAAACAGAAGTGTATGAAACGAGATATTGTTCAATGTGCTATAAAGGATGTGCTCTCATTGCATCAACTGATACCATCAATCGATATATATAATGCCCGGAGATGGCGTGTTATGGGCTTGGCCCATTTTGACATAACTCAAATATCACGTACTGAATAAATGACGCAGACATGTCCCAAATGTCGCCCGCTAGACAGGTAACCCATCTGTATACAACATGCACTAATCTCAACGGGGTGTGGTTGAAGCCTAATTACGAAGGATGTATGGTGCACCCTTAACAGTTTTCATGTTTTAAGTACAATACTTCCATGCTTGACTGCACTTGAACCAATACACAACCAAGCAGCATATACAACAGGCATCAAAGGTATTCCCTGTTGATGAAAATGGAAGAAATTGGCAACCCAACTACCATCAAGTATTACCAACCGAAAGGCCAAACAGCTATCCGTGAGGAAATGGAGTCAGCTTTAAGGGATGCCCCTCCATCCTTTTGCACTGTTAAGAGGTGGGCAGCCGTTCAAGTGGGGAAGAGAGAATCTCGAAGATGATCCAAGATCAGGACGACCTTCAACTGCCACCACTCAGGAAAATGCTAATAAACATATGATTATGGGTGAAATCCAGTGTACCACACGCCACGCAGCCAATACAGTAGGCATCTCACACGAGAGGGTCGGAATGGACTCGGCCTGAGAAACGTTTTAGCATGCTGGGTTCCCTTCTGACTCCTGATCAGAAAGGCCCAAGGTTCATTATTATCTATCTCACGTCGTTTTGTCGCAGATCCAGATGATTTTATTGAGCGATTTTAAGTGATTTCTCAGGCAGAATCGAGACAACAGTCAAAGCAATGGAATCGTCTAATGTCTCCTACTCTGAAGAAGGTAAACTCAGCTTGAAAGGTGATGGCTTCAGTTTTCTGGTATTCTGAAGGAATCCTACTGTTGGACTACCTCTCGAAAGGTCGGACCATTGATGGCCAATATTATGCTAATCTGCTTAGGTAACTGCGTGAGAATATGAAGACTAAACGTCGTGGAAGACTCACTAAAGGTACTAAAATGTACTACACATATCGCCTTCAGTGTAAGGCGTGGACACATGTGTTACTTTAGACATGTTACTCTGGCAGCGAGACATATCTGACATAAGCCATATCACCCAGGCACGGATACATAATGTTACATTAGCCATATCACTTAGGTATGGATACATATATGACATTAGCCATATCACCTAGGTATGGATACATATCTTACATTATCCATATCACCTAGGTATGGATACATATCTGATATAAGCCATATCACCTAGGCATGGAGAGATATCTTACATTAGCCATATCATCTAGGCGCGGATACATATCTTACTTTAGCCATATCACCAAGGCACGGATACATGTCTTACATTAGCCATACCACCTTTTGCACAGATACATATCTTACATTAGCCATATCACGAAGGAATTGATACATATCCAAAATGGCACAATTATGCTCCCTGGTGAACACACAAGCACATGTGTCAATGTAAGCAGTTTATTATATTAGAAGACATAAATAAGTCGATTAAATGGATCTCATATATTTGGCATGATTTTAAATAAATGAGCCTTGACGAAAGCCGATGCAACTTCAGCTGGGAATGCAATCAAGGGTTTAGCAATCAAAGATAGCAAAGGCTAGGTTCAACAATACTATAATCTCTGTCATATTCTTCCAGTGATATTAGGAGGAAATCATCAAAGGTGCATCTGTGTGACAAAAATATCAAAGGACTTTTCTTGTTGCAGTTTTAAGTCTGATTAGATGCATAAGTGTCTTCCGGGCCCACTTCTGATGTGTGTCGAGAGCGTCTTCATACTCTTTATTTAATGGTAAAGGACTACAAATCTAGAATTTTAAACTATCTCTTTCAGGAATAATATAAATAATATAATCTTAATCTACCATGTTTATGTATACTCGCGCTGAAAGTGTACACATGATAAACAGTTATATAAAACTTATACTTCTTTTGTGGATTACTAGATGGGAAATATGGCACGAAGGTTTAAGAATGAAGAAGAGTTGTAAAGAACATCCACAACATTAACTTAAGTGTGTTGGTCTAACGCCGCTCTGAACAGCATCTCAGTCATATCCTGTCATGTCATTCAAATGTGTGTGAAAGTTCAAAGACAAGAAGATCTAATTTACTTATTTGTTGAATCTCGGGCATTGCTTCCTACACATACACAAGGAACCAAATGCATAGATAAAGTTCCTACTCTGACCCTAGCAATGCAGGAAATAGAAGCCATTTAGTAAACAAGACCCATTACAAGTGGGAATATGTAACTTTGAGGGACACTCTTAGAGATCGTGTCACGCCTGACTACCTCGTGTCGCCTTTCATGTCCTGTAACAGTGAGATAGTCAGTTGGTTTAACGCCGTTTTGAACATTTACATCCAGTTATATTACGGTGTGGCAGCTTAATGTGTAAGGAGAGAACAAAGTGGTGAAGGTCGTTGGCGCAACCTCGCAAGTGCAACAGATACATCACAGTCGGGAAACAAATGGTATTCGAACCCATGACAGCGGATGCTATCACGGCAAAGGGACGCAACTCTGCCTTAGATCAGTGGGCCATCTGTCCATTCGCATTTCTACATGCAGGTTACCGCCACTTGTTTCAGTCATGCTCCCCGAACTCTTCTCATTTCTTATCCAGCTATGAAAGTAAATGATGTCCTCACATGATCTGATATATTCAAAGAGTTTGCTTTGAGTGTTTTTAAACTTGGAATTTACTGTGAACTTAGTTCAATAACTGGTATTAATATCTGACGCCCCTCATACTTTGATATACGACACATGCAATATGGGAATAATACAATTCAAGCGACAAAATGCATTCCATAATCATAAGAAATCACTGACCAAAGCAGAGTCCATTGTATGATTCCGATTATATCAAATGCATGCGTTTATGTAACACTATCAAATAGTGATGACACCAGGTGTTCGGGAAAGGTGAGCGTTTTCAAGCGCCACCGGTCGCTTCCGTCACAAACACATACAAAGACAAGACAAGTGTTCACCTGAGCAAACATGAGAATATGAAAAAATAAGCCAACATTGAATTGCATCGGACATCAGTTTGGTCACTGATCAATGCGTCAAATTTGAAAAAAGTAAAAAACCAATGTCATCAGATGTTTCGATCT